TAAATTTTCCTCCGAGATTTGTCCAGTTCAGCAGTGCAGAGCTTAAAACACCCAATTTCAATATTTTTTACTGTCTCCCGACATCCCCAACTTGTCCCTTCCCATAAAAATGAATGAGGCCATTGCGCATGTACTGGATTTTCAAGTTGTATCCCTTCAGCAGGGCCTTAAATAAGTGGCCTATTCCCCCCCCCCCCCCCCCACCTCTCCCATTTGATGAGATGTAGATCTCCAAAGTCTTGGTAAGGCCGGGAGCAAAGAAAAATTGTCCACAATTTGCAAATGTGGATAACGAGTTCCCTTCACAAGCCGCCCCAGTTTCCCATTAATGGACTCGAAGGGGTATAACGAGTAGCCCCAAGGCCGGCCCCACTCCATTGCACTATCGACAAGATGTATGAGCAGGTGCGTGTAGTATGTAACATGCTCTTTGCCATACAACTCCTGATACTTCTGGACAAAACCAAACATGGTGACCCTAAGGTCTCGGAGCTTTTGAATACAAAGTGATGGACCTAACAGGTAATGCATGATCTCAACAAGCTGCATTCAATGGTTGAAATATTTCGAAGGAAGGTGATATATATCGCGGTCAAGAAAGACGAAGACGAGGCTCAAGAAAAGCACGCGCGCACCCGCGATAGCAGAGACAGCCTGATTCCAAAACGCCATGAGCAATGGCTAGCTTCTTTTCGACTTAAACTGTACATAGTGTAAATAAACGCAGATTTAACAGGAAAAGATGTATTAATTGGCGACGAGGGAGTTTCGCGAACCCTGAAGATGGAAGACTGCGGCTCTCACGGACGAATTCCGGTATTTAACCCCGGAGGAAACTGGAGTTCATGGTTGGAACGCCTTGAGTTCTACTTCGAAGCCAAGGACATAACCAACCCCGTGAAGAAGCGAGCAGTTCTGCTCACATCATGCGGTGAGTCGACCTTCGACACCGTACGAGCTCTTCTAGCTCCGAGAAAGCCTTCGGAAGTCGAGTTTGGAGAAATTGTGAAACTCCTTAACGAACACTACGACCCGAAGCCGGCAGAACTGCTCAGCCGTTTCAAGTTCCATCAGCGAAACCAAGCACCGGCAGAGACCATCTCTAATTACGTCACCGCCCTCCGCAAGATCGCAGCGGACTGCAACTTCGGAACGGTGACTAATGTACCGGCCAGGACTACTACGGCTACAACCGCTACTTCGTCCAGCGAGGTGACACAAGCGGCCCAGGCCGCACAAACACCAGGAACTGAACTTTCTACCGTTCTGCCACTAGATGTCATGCTCCGTGACCGTTTCATCTGTGGCATTAAAAACTCGCGCCTACAGCAACGCTTGCTGGTCGAACGTCACATCACCTTCGACCGAGCTTACGCGATTGCCTTGGCTACCGAGTCTGCTGCCAGCCAGCAACGTCACATTCAAGGTGAAAAAGAAGGGAAGGTCCAGAGCACCTCCCCAGTCAAGACCTCCAAGGGCGGAAAAACAGCGAAGAAACCTTGTTTCCGCTGCACAGGCTCGCACACGCCGGATGCCTGCAAGCATATCAAAGCAACTTGCACATTTTGCCGCAAGAAAGGTCATTTGGAAGAGGCCTGCTTCAAACGCAGAGCCCAGCGAAAGTCCCAAGAGGAATCGAAGTGTCGCACGCATCACGCGGACGCAACAGAGCATGAGACACATGGTGATCTTTTTGCTGTCAACAGCGTTACCCAGGGAGACACCTCGCGGGTCATCGCGGAGATACTCGTGAACGGACAACACCTCGACATGGAAGTGGATTCCGGAGCTTCCCACTCCATAATCAGCTCCGAAACATACAAACGTCTTTGGCAGGGGCGACCTCCTAAGCTAGAACCTTGCGACCTCTCCTTGTGCGTCTGGGCTGGAGACAAGATGCAACTGGCTGGCAAGGTGCCGGTCAACGTACGATTCAAGGACAAAGACGCTCGTCTGGACCTCTACGTGGTTAACGGAAAGAGAGCAAGTCTGCTTGGTCGGGACTGGTTTCCTGCGTTGAACATCCAGGTTTCCGGCGTATACTCAATGTCTTCAACAACCCTGGAAGATCTACTAAGAACCCATGAGCAAGTGTTCCAAGGACAGCTCGATGGTCATGTCGGCGAACCGCTACACATAGACCTCAAGCAGGACGTAGCTCCAAAATTCCTGAAGAGTCGACCTGTGCCTTTTGCTCTGCGAACAGCAGTACATGAAGAGCTGAACAAGCTTCAGGCCCAGAACATTTTGGAGCCGGTAAAGTCGTCGTCCTGGGCAACACCCTTAGTCATCGTCCAAAAAAAGAACGGTGCACTACGGCTTTGTGGGGACTATCGGTGCACGGTCAACCCAGCACTCAAGGCAAACGCATATCCGCTTCCCACAGCACCAGACCTGTTGTCCATCGTACGGGGAGGAAAGATCTTCTCGAAGATAGATCTGCAACAAGCGTACCAGCAATTGCGAGTGGACGACGCCACAGCAGAGTTACTGACTGTAACGACACCGATGGGGCTCTTTCGCGTTAAACGAGTTCCTTTTGGAGTTTCAGTTGCGCCTTTGCTGTTTCAACAGTTCATGGACACGCTGTTGGCAGGCATCGAAGGCACGGGAGCATACCTTGACGACATAATGGTCACAGGGGCAACTGAAGAGGAACACTTAGAACGCTTGAAAGCCGTTCTTCAACGCCTCGCGGAAGCCGGACTTCGGGTCTCCCAAGCCAAATGCAAATTCGGGGTTCCAGCGATAGAATTCCTAGGCTACCACGTTGACGCTAATGGAGTGAGACCAACCGCCGAGAAGGTAAAGGCCATCACGGAAGCCCCGGAACCGAGCAACAAAAAGGAGCTCCAAGCCTTTCTTGGAATGCTGAGCTTCTACAGTCGTTTTCTGCGGAACAGGGCATCTACCGCCGAAAGGCTGCATCGACTGCTTGACAAAGACGCCAAGTGGGGCTGGGGGAACGAAGAGCACAAGGCTTTCAAAGAGCTGAAGGTGCTGCTTAGTTCAGCACCCCTGCTCGCTCACTATGACGACAAGCGGAAACTTGTTTTGTCTTGCGACGCATCACCATACGGTGTTGGGGCAGTTCTGTCGCAGCTGGACGACGCCGGAGAAGAAGCTCCAATTGCCTACGCATCCAGAACACTGGGCAAAAGCGAACGTAATTACGCTCAGCTGGATAAGGAAGGACTAGCCATCATCTTCGGCATGAAACATTTCCACCAGTACGTCGCCGGGCGACAAGTGACCGTGTACACCGATCACAAGCCACTTCTGGGGATAATGAGCCAAGGTCGACAGATTCCGGTAATGCTGTCACCACGCATGACCCGATGGTGCCTTCTACTTGGCTGTTACGACTACGAGTTGCGTTACCGACAAGGCAAGGCGCACCAGAACGCGGACGCACTCAGCCGTCTACCACTGCCAATTATGAAGGACGAAGCCGCACCACCAGGAGATGTACTTATGCTCGAAGCAATGGAGTGCCCACCCTTGACGGGTCAACGCATTGCGCGTCTGACCAAGGAAGACTCCGTTTTGTCAAAAGTCTACCAAGGACTGCAAGACGGAACCAGCACAAACTGGACAGGAGACGAGTTCGCACCGTACAAGCGCAGAGAACTCGAGTTGGCGACACACAACGGCAGCGTGACGTGGGGGGCACGTGTTGTTCTACCACAAGCAGCACGCGAGCAAGCTTTGAAAATGCTGCATGCCAACCACCCGGGTATTGTTTCCATGAAAAGTACTGCTCGGAGCCATTTCTGGTGGCCGAGGCTTGACGCAGACATCGAAGCAACCGCAGCTGCGTGTGAGACGTGCCAACAACATCATCGGGCCAAGTCTCCGGTACCAACGCCTGACTGGTCACCTGCCACTCGACCCTGGGAGACAATTCACATCGACTTCGCCGGACCAATCGACGGGATATCGTACCTCATCGTCGTCGACGCTTACTCGAAGTGGTTGGAGGTGAAGCCGATGCACTCCACGACGTCTACACGCATCATCGACGCCCTTCGCTCCACCTTTGCAACTTTTGGAGTACCCACAATCCTTTTCTCCGACAACGCACCAAATTTCGTGTCGAACGAAATGGATGAGTTCTTAACGAGAAACGGCATCAAACACTACACCAGCGCCCCATATCATCCGGCCACAAACGGGCAAGCGGAGCGTATGGTGGGCGAAACAAAAAAGGCCCTCCTGAAACTTAAGGAAGGAACAATCCAGTGCAGAATCGCCAGGTTTTTGTTCAGGCAGCATACGACAGTTTCAACCTCCACGGGGAAAACACCCGCCGAAGCAATGTTCGGCCGACGGATCGCCACACCTCTCGATCTCATGAATCAAAGCTCGTCGACAAGCGAAGACCGAGAAGCTCCGACGGACGGAGTAACGGCAGATTACTCGGCAGGCCAAACCGTCTACGTGAGAAATTTCGGTGGAAGACCAGCATGGGTTACCGCGGTAATCATGAAACCGCTAGGTATTCGATCCTTTCAAACAAGAACGGAGGACGGAAAACTTCAGCGGCGACACGTTGATCATATTCGCCCCAGAAGATCACACTTGGAAACTCTAGAGGGCAAAGAAGAAGCTTCGCCATTCTTAATCTACCCAGCCACGGAGGACATAGACGAGTCACAAATGACACAGCCCGAGAACAGATGCACCGGGGACAATAATGCTGACGTCCAGGACAGAGGCACCATGGACAATAATGCTGAAGTCCAGGACAGAGACACCGTGGACGACAACGTGGACGTCCAAGCAGACCCCGGTTCAAGGACTACCCGAGGGGGTCGCCAGATCAAGCAGCCAGCACACTTTAAAGACTATGTACTGGGTGTTAATCAAGAAGGGGGATATGATATATATCGCGGTCAAGAAAGACGAAGACGAGGCTCAAGAAAAGCACGCGCGCACCCGCGATAGCAGAGACAGCCTGATTCCAAAACGCCATGAGCAATGGCTAGCTTCTTTTCGACTTAAACTGTACATAGTGTAAATAAACGCAGATTTAACAGGAAAAGATGTATTAGAAGGATTCCTTTCAAAACTACAGGCGAGCAGTACAGCAGCCAGTTTCTCCATTCCGACGATTTCCACTCTTTCGTGACATTCACGGATCTGGGCAGTCTTGACATTTCCCAGATGGGTTGCAAGCCCATCAGCTTAGCATCCATATCCCTCATAAAGGGACGCAGGTTAAACGCGTCACGTCGCTTTGCCTTGAACCAGAGAAATGTGATGGATCGCACGAAGCCTGAACTTACGGCATGCATGTAATCTACCAAAAAGCCTGTATTAAAGCTAAAAAAAGAAAGTAGTAAAAGGATGCTTGACCCTTTTACACCACAGCTTGGTTCGCCTTTACGCGCTTTGCGGGCATGCTGCGAGAAAGACTCGTGCGTCCTCCTTTTGGGAGGAGCAGCACCGGCTGGGTACACACGAGAATGCCCCTTCCCCTTTTCCACCACCTCGCCGGGCTCCTCATACCATGCACATCCATATGCACCGTTAAACTGTGTCATCTGCATGAGTTCACACCTTGCAACGGTGTCCACCGTGCAAGGCCCTGGGAATACCTTTGACACTCTGGTATTCCCTCCCTTGTCGGTCCATGAGATGCCACACGACGACAGCTCATTCAATGCTTTCACAAAGGGCACAAGGAATGTATTGATAGATGGTTTTCCTGAACCAAACCAAAGTCCAAACAATTGGAGCTTTTGCATTCGCTTCCTAAATAGAAGTTCATTAACTTAGACAAGCAAGGGCCAAATTCCAAAGTTGCTGCTTTCAAGAAGCGGTACACCATCAGTGTTAAAGGTTACGGTTAGGTCATCTGCACCCAGTGGGAGCCTACTGCAACCAAGACTTTCAGTCATGTCTGTGACATCGTACGACAAACGGTGTTTGCCTAGGATGCTGCCATCGCTCGTCTCAAGCATCTCACGGATTTGGCTAGCAAGATCTAAGGTAAAAAAGTAGGAAAACGACTTCACAAGGTCGTTTTCAGAATGCTTCATACCACACTGGTTACAACAGGCCTCACCGTCGCTATTTTCCCGCTAAATCTAACAGAAAATTTTCCCCACTATATTTAGCGGGAAATTTTTCCACTAAATTTAGCAGAAGCGTTTCCCCTAAATGAAAGGCGAGCAGGAGAGGAAAATGAACACAGCCCCTTCTCCGTATCTTTCCCTCCTCCTAAAGAGATGCGCTCTAATTCGGCATTACAGGGAGTTGTAAACGGCTTTAATTTTTTAAAGTTGTTTTGAGTATGTGCCACATCATGTAAAACTGGGAACTTGAGTTACACAAGTTGCTTAGATGCTGCTTTGTCACTGACCTTAGTTTCATGCATTAGCGGTGGAAAGAACAGTTTTCTGGAAGAGCTAAAACGGATACCTCTGGTGCGGTGTCCAAGCGAGCATCTCTGTTGTGTAGAAACGCTCACTACCGATGGGAGCGACAAACATCTGCAAAGTGTCCCTGAGAAGAATTCCTCGACTGTGTGGACAACTTTCTCCATTTCTCAATTCAAGTGTGGCAACCGAACACCTGTCCTTGGTGTCTCTTTTCGGGAAGGTGGAGTTGGACATGCTTCCACACCCCATCCAACGTCTTTGCCTCAAGCTCATGCAGTATCACTTGAGGAGTGAGCAGTTGGTGTTCTGAACAGGCGTGCCAAGCGAGGCGTGCATGCACCTGAAATGTCGTAGCAACAAGTTTTTTGTTTTATCTTTATTTTTTAGTTTTGTTGGCAGGACACGCTGTCAAAAGAGGCTCCTCGGGCATGTGCCAACAGGACTTTATCTGGTTGATCAGGTCGCACCATTCACCGTGCTGCGTGTCCTTGCCTATACAGTATCTTACACCGTCACAATGTTTTCCAAGATTTTAATACTATTAAATTCCTTGTTTCATTTCGCAAAAATACAGCTGCCACGTTTCCCTCGAGAAAAATATTCTCATTCAAGTTCTGAATCTATTGCCAGGTCAGCTGTCTACTCCTTGAATTGAAGAATATTGCATCAATTATATAAGTTCAGGGTGAAAAACAGAAGAAAGGAAAAGCATATTGTAATTATTGTACGCAATCAGCATTCCAGAACAAATATTTTAGCCCCTAGCAATTGTGTATGAACAAGCAACCGTTTTGGTTTCGGTTTAATCGTTGTGCGCCAGGCAATTTTGAGTTTTCGTCTTAAACAGGCCTCTCACTTTAGGGAAGTAAATTTTCAAAGCGGCCGAGGCAACCGCTTCCCGCGCGCTCAACGTCAACCGCCAATAGAACGTTTTGTGAGGTTATGAAATGCTCAATGGCAAAGAGAAATTTAGACGTAACAAGTCACAAACCAGCTGGCTTCTTGACCCCGGTTTCGGCGAGGTAGGAGCATCCGACTCATCTTCAGAATCAGATGATGACGGGTCGGATGAGTCCTCCGACGATGACGGGTCCGGCGAGTCCTCCGACGATGACAACTTGTTCCCGGTCTCGTCCTCGCTTTCGGCTGCCGAGTCCATCGCAGCCGCCGTGTCGACTGTGATGGGACAACAATGATTTTCATTATGAGTGGTGTATGCCCGGACGCAATCGTGTGTGGAAACCGTGGAAACAGAAAAGTTATAATGAATATATAACCCACCACAAGCGCGGTGGGCGGCATCTGCATTATCTCCGTCGCTGTTGTCACACGATTGACTCTGTGGGGTCGTAGCTCTAGCAGCTCTAGTAGCTTCAGTGGCTTGAGACTGGCCAGGTGTGTCGTTGTCCTCAGCATGGTTCTCGGAATCGTCCGACTCAACAGTAGGACGCTCGACAGTCCGACGATTGTTTAGGCGGCACTTCGAGCGGGTAGGAATCTTGCAATTGGTGTTCCAAAGGTATTCGCCGTACTGTCGCTTACCAGGCATTTCAGATTGCAAACGGCATCAGCAGCCTCAACAAACAGCAACAACCGGACCTTACGCCTCGCTGCTCACGCAGACGGCGGAAAACGCAACAAGCGAAAACTGCGAAAACGCCGACGTTACGTCAACTGGATTCAGTTCGTCCCTTCGCCACTCGCGGTAGAGCTATAACTCCCGCCAAACAATAATAGTATTGTACGTCACACATTTGCACCACTTTTAACGTAACAAGAGTTCATCGGAGTCGCTGTAGTCACCCTGAAAAAAAAAAATGGGAAACCCCGAAGGGCGAGTGCTTTTTGTGAATTAAAACGATTGGCTGTTTCTGACAATAAAATATTTCGCCTGAAACCAAAGTTAGTTGTTTTGGGCAACTCATTGGTTTTGGAGCAACAATACTATTTTTCATTTTGTGCTACATCCAAGTAGGTTGGTACATCGCACCAACGTTAGTCGCACTGTGACATCCGGACGTACAATCAGGCTAGGTGGCGCAAGCTGCCACCCGATACAAAGGGTACAGCCGCTGGCATTTATCCATCCACCCAATCCAATCCAAGCAACCAAGCCGCTTCTTTTCTTTCGTCTTTGTTGGCGGTTGCGTTGTTTGCGTGTTGAATCGGAAGGTTTACGGGACCGGCGGTACGTGCAAGATGACACATATCCTTATTAAGTGGATAGGCGAGAATAAGTGGGATGTTTATCCCGTTAAAGCGTTAGATAACCCGGCCATCGGTGTGCAACTAATGTCTGATGAGGGAGCTATCAAAAAAATTACGCAGGCAGGTCGTGGATGTAAAATGGAAGGTGGATGAAGACCCGTCACCCGCCACGCTCTTAGATTTCGGTAAGTGTTGCTAAACTTTTTGACCATTTGTTAGCATGGTTTAGTCATTTTCAGTGAAACAGCGTCGAAGAATGTGCGCGATGTCTTCTGTATATGTTTACTTTTAGATGAAGGACGGCAGGCCGTTGAGTAGATTTTTCAAACAATGCACCTAGGCTCGAAACGTAGGGTTCCTACATTTTTAGCATTTGGTTGGTTGCCGACTTTTCTTTATTGTTTCCGAACCAGATAGGATTCTTTGAAATGTTTACTTTCATATTTATTTCTCGCAAGAAGTGAGGGAGCGATGGAAGGCAAGCGCACGCAAGTGGCGAAGGGTGCGTCGGACGCCGGAGCCTCGACGGCAAAGGTTGGAATGCCGCTCTTATATGGGATGATTGAAATAGTGAGGCTTGCTGTTAAACGGACCGCGAAAATTGACTACACGCAGAGCTAATACTTTTGTCAGAAGTGTATTCTTCATTATCTATACTTGGCGTCAGTCCCTCGTTACTTCGTTGTAAAAGCTATTTTCGCCAGCGTGTGACTTTTATGTTCTAGATCAGTGCACTCTCAACAAAAGGGTTGTCGTAGGGTACTACACTTGGGGTAGTCAGAAGCCGTCACAGATATCGCTACCCCCCCTTCGTTATACTAACAACCCCATGGGCAGTCACACGGCACGCAATCAGCAGGTAATCACAGTGAGCACCCCCAAAAGCAACATGGCGGCTGGCAAGCGACAGTGGAGCAATACGAGTAAGGCCTAGCGAGCTGAACTGCTTTTTGCTAAAATACGATTCGCAAGTGCGTACGCCCGTTCGCTGCCTTCCGTGCGCACAAAGCACTCCGAAACGCGCCTCGAAGCACCGGCACCGCACCTAATACGAGTAGGGGCGACGATGTGAGGGGGGGGGGGGGGGGGGCGCATTCGAGGGGGTTTGTCCGCGATTGCTTTCGCGAAGCCGGCTGCATTTACTTCGCGGCCATAAAACATTCAAAGAAGGAAACAAAATAGCGACAAATGGAATGATGTCTTTATTGAACAGAGCATCTGCTCGCTGTGCTTGCCGCAAGTGATCCGGCGTTTTCGGATGACAGCGGCGGGGCGAAGCATCACCGATTTAAGCGGCGTCGGTTCCGATCGTTCAACGCTCCTGCTCACCTGTTAGCATTCGTTATCCACTTTCAAGTCCCTGGTAATCCTCACCGCGTCTGTGCACGCACTTGGCGCTATTCACCGCACGGAACACCCATTCAACTGGCTATGGGACTGATCCCATTTGGACGAGAGGCCGAGAACCGAACCAGACCGAACCGAACCCTTTGTGGCTGCAACGTGGAGCCACGGAACGGCTCCATGTTTTTTACTCAAATAAGTAGACACATAAACGCGCGACTCCTTGGATTGGGCGGCGACACGCGCCACCTAACGGGCAGCGCTCCAACTAAAGAAAAAAAGAAACCAGAAATTCTTGCTCTGAGCGCCTCGCCGGACAATGCCGTGTACACATTCCACACCACACTCATACGCGACATACAGACATCACAGCAATTTGTACATCAACGCATTCAGAAACAGCACAAGATACAATATGACATATTGACACTCTGCATTCCTATATACATGTCTAGTCGACACCACCAGCTTATATACTGCTGTATTTTATGTGACCGATTAGGATGGTGACCACTGTCATATTTTGCATAAATACAAAAAGACTGTGCAAGATTTCGCCGTATATATTCTTTTCCTCTACTGCCCTTAGGAAAGCGCTCGTATCTCTAATGTAGGGCCATTGCAAAAGTGAACTGCAGGTTATAAATAAATTTGAATAGTTGCTACACGTCACATTTTGAACAGTTTCGTTTTCTCGCTTGCCTACACTTCAAGTATACAGAAGCCTGTTTAATTAATTGTATTAATTATCGAAACCAATTTCTGCAATCACAACTTTCTGAACACACTGGTGCATTTTCTTTTCTCTTTTT